CTCCTCACCTCGTCCTCCCCTCTTTGCTGGACGAGAAGGAGTCCCAGCGGGGCCCAGGCTTGTCCCGATTCTAACGCCCACTCAGGGTCCAGCAGGGGGTGTGCCCAGGCTGGACTCCGTCCTCTGCCCCTCCTGGGCACCCTCATTCCCCGCACCTCGGCTGCCTGGACACTCTGTGCCCCCCCCACCTGGCACCCCCCCCCCCAGGTTATTCCAGCGCCCTCTGGCCCTTGGCCCCAGACCTTCTCCATGTTGAGTGGAAGTGAGGTGATGGACATGCTGGGCCTCCTGGATGGTCTGGGGGAGCCAGATATCCCTGTCCTGCCCACGGCCCCGAGAGCCCAGGGTGGGGAGAGGGTGTGTCCCCAATTCACGCTCTGATTTGCTCAGATTCTTGGCACCTACTTTGCTGGGTGGATTCGGGGGACAGAGGGATGGCGTGAACGCAGGAGAGCTGGGCACAGAGGGGACGTTAGCAGAGTGTGAGGAGGGGGCGAGCCCGGGCTGGGCTCATAACCCCGTCAGCCTTGGCTTTTTCATCTTTAATGTGGGACAGACTGCTGTGAGGTGAGCGGGAGCTTGGCCCACGGCCAGACACTGTCCTACGCGCCTTAGAAGGAGGAGCTCACTGACTCCTCAGGGAGATCGATGGGGCAGGGACCAGGGTTATCACCCCTTTCTACAGGCGAGGAAACTGAGGCACGGAGAGGTGAGGTGATTGCTTCAGATCACACAGCCCAGGCTGTGTGGCTCCAGGGACTGGGCTCATGGTCAGTGCCTACTCTGGGTGTCCCCTCCCTCCCTTCACCTTCCACTGGGACCCACGGCTGCAGCCTCATCTCAGCGTGATTGTTCGTGGGGAGCAGGGTGGGGGCGCTGGGGGCCCATTTTCTCTGAGCACTGCTTTCCCAGGAGGCTGAAGGTGTTGTCTGTATTCACTGCTGGACACCCGGGCCCAGGCCAGCCATGCTGCAAGGCCTGAATCAGTGTTTGTTGAGCGAATAGCTGAACATCTGCAGCATGGTGCCCCCCGTTTCCTAGTCTCCACAGCACGCCTGGCTGCATGGCTGACACTTCCTGTCATCAGGCTTCTGCCAGGGACAGTCAAGGGGACCAGAGCTGCTCAGCCAGGGACAGGGAGCCTCATGGGCCCTGTGGCTGCCCCACGCCTCTCTTGGGCTGTCCCGGGCCAGTCCACAGAGAGGCCCGGCCAGGTTCCAGGAACAGCAGTGAGGTCCCCATCTCAAAGGTGTGGAGTAGGTGTTGAGGGGTGTTTCCTGAGGGTGACTCTGCTTCTGAAGGGGCCAGGCTGCTTTAACGTCCATGCCAGGCCCCCACCCCTGCTGGCTGCATGGAGCCGGTCATAAAGGACACAGGCCATGGGGCTAAGGTTATAACAGGTCCCTGCTCCCTCTCTGTGCCTCAGTGTCCTCTTCTGTAACAGAACCAGTAACAGGGCCACGGGAGGGCCAACTGAGACCCTACCCTGTGGCCTTGGGTGGCCACTGCCCTCTCTGTGCTTAGTATCCTTGTCTGTAATAGAGAACTAGTAACATTTTTCCTATTGACTTTTGGTCTCATTTTTCTGAGTCCCTTTCCATACTGGGCCCAGGGCGCTCACAGAGCTCACAGGCTGGAGAGGTAATCAGAGTGTGGTCACAGCCCTAGGGGTCCCAGGGAGGCCAGAGGGGATCACCAGCTGGGAGGCGTCGGAGGGGTGGGGAGAGCCGAGCCTTGGGGCTGAAGGATCCTGCTGGTGGTGGCCTCTCTCACAAGGGGACTTCACAGGGAGGAGTCAGTTGTGGGGTAAGGGCTGAGCTCAGTTTGGGGCATGCTGACCTGGAAAAGCTTAGCATAGGTATGTCCGGAGGAGCTGGATGTAGGGGACGAAGGTGCCACCGGGGTCAGGGTTAGAGCTTGAGTCCCAGATGAGGTGGGGCGGGGCTGCAGCAGAAGGGGCTTGAGGACGTCCAGATGTTCACTCATTGGGTCCTCAGGGTAGGGACCGTCACATCCATTTCACAGCCACCTGGTGCCTAACAGCTGGGTCCAGGGAGGTCACTCAGGAAGCACGTGCTAACTTGATGCAAATTCTTCCATTTCCACTTTAAATCCCTGGGACAGAATTGGCTAAATTCAAAGCTTGGTGACTCGGGTTAGTTAGCTAGAAAGTTGAACCCAAGGTTTACAAATAAAAGCAGCATACAGACTGAAGGCAAGACTAAGAACCCACAGGATCACTAAGACTGTCCACGCGCAGACCACTGTGGCCTCAGGGCCTTTGCGCTGGCCATTCTCTCAGCTGGGAACTTTCTCCCTCTGCATTGCTTGCTCCTTAAACATCTCCAGTATTCTGCCCAAATGGCCTCCATGACTTTATTTTTCTCCATGGAACATATCACCGTCTGATTTTTGTGTACATTTTACTTATTTTTCTCTGTGTCCCCCACTAGGCAGTCTGCTGCATGAGAATGGAGACCCGCCTGCTTCACTCCCTGCAGTGCCCAGTGTCTGGATCCCACCCAGCACACAGTAGGGCCTCAGTGAATGTGTGCTGAGTGTGTAAACGCCGTAGGCCACTGACAAGCATCTTCCCTGAAGTGATGGTAAGAGTCGTTAAATCACTACTTACTGAGTCCTACTGTGTGTTGGGCACTGACCTGGGCGGGAGGCACGCAGTGAGTGAGACACACAGTGAGCACACAGAGCGTGTTAGGAGGGACACGTGCTCTGGAGAACACGCAGGGCTCGGGGAAGTCAGGAGTGGAGGGTGGAGGAGAAGAGGGCCCGGGTTGGGGGGGAGACAGTGGTGGCAGAGGAGACAGAGAGGTGGCGCCCAGGCCGTGCAGGGCCTGGTGGCCCCTATGAAGGCTTTTCCTCTGGGCAGGGGTGACCATGGCTGGGAGCGGAGCAGAGGGTCGGGTCCTGAATGCTGTGCAGGAAATGAGGTGGGTAACTGCTGGGGAGACGTGTGTGCAGGAGGCTGTCCCTGTAGACTGCAGGCAGGGAAGGCTCCCCTGAGGAGGTGACATCTGAGCTGAGCCCTTGTATGGACCCTGTTTCTACCTTCTGTAGACTTGATGCCTTCATCCGCCCTGCAGGCCTATGCGGGACACGCCCTGTTCTCAGTCACCTGGACTTGGCCTCCTGCCCCCTTTGTGGGCCCTCCCGCCCCAGGAGTCCTCCTTCTGGGTCTAACCCCCCACCTCCTCCACTGGACTCGGACTCAGGCTGAGCCGCTGTCCGCCTGCCTGACTGACCCAGAGTCAGGTCCAGACCCTCGGGGCCACCCCGCCACCCCAGAGCCCATGAAGTTACTCAACCGGCCGGTCCTCAGCCTGCTCACCTGCCTTGCCCTTCCGTCCTGCAGAAACAGCCCTGTCCACGGCGCCCTGCTCCTCCGCTCCTGACCCCCGTGGTGTGGCCCCGCGTGGTGTGGCCCCCCCCGTGGTGTGGCCCCGCGTGGTGTGGCCCCGCGTGGGGTGCCATCCTGTCTCCAGTCCGGTGAGTAGAAGCTGCCTTTTCAATGGCAGTTGTCCCTGATCTTTTGGCCTTCCTGAACCTCAGGTTTCCTGCTAATATAATCTATTTCACACCAGGCTGCGAGACACTTTGCAGACAGTCAGAGTAGACAAATGAAGAACAAGTGTCCCGTGTACCTTTTTCAGCATCGTCAACGAGTTTAATATTTTAATGTAGATTAGAATTCCTTTTCCCCATAAAGTCACAAGCTCCTTGAGGGTGGAGGAGATACAAAAATTACGTGGACAGGACCAGACTCCTGCGACCCATAATATCTGTCTCCCCAGACTGAGGGCTCAGGCCCAGGCTTGACCAAGTCCTGCCTTCACACTGTGAGTGGAGTTTCA